CACTTCTTCTTTCTTAAAGGCAAAGCTTTTGTGATTTTCTTATCATGGACATCTTTAAGACTGCAAAAACTATTCCTAATTTTATCACAATGAAGTCAAGACCTATTGAAATTTTTTGAGGGCACCTCAAAACTGCCAAGAGCCTAGAAATCAATACTGTCGCCTGGGATGAGATGTGAGCTACTCCAGTTTAAGAGTCAAGCTCTAGCTCGCCACAATTAATGATGGTTTTCTTGAGAGAAAAAAAAACCCACTCGTTGTTTTCAGCACAGGCTTTTCACAATCTGGCATGAGGTAATTATTTTGTCAAAAATTCTCAGCCTGCCTAACTTATCCAGTGTTTGAAATAATTTGGGCTTCGGTTCCTGAAGAGTAAGAAAAGAACCCACTAGATCACTCCGAAATGAATAAAACTTGGATGCTTGATGTCCTGTTGTGGCTTTTTGTGAACCTTTCTGTCCCTATTGCCTGAACCTTAAAATACGGTTCACAGCTGAAACAACGAACAAAACACCACACCGGTCGGTTCAGCAACTTGAAGAGAGTTATAATTAGGCGAAAGTCTTTAAGTGGAAGAGCCACGTGGTGGCAGGAGAGAACCAGGTGTGTAAAAAGGCTGCTACGCCAAAGGCTTCCTTCGGTTCGAACTACAGCCCGCTCCCTTCCACAGCACAGCTGCAGGCTTGTGGCTATAGCTTTATATCTAATGGATACAAACGTAAATCATTAGTTACAATATTTTTAAAAATGTCCATGACTTCTAACTTTCTGATACTACTCACCAAGTTCAACAGGGAATTACGCAGTGAACTTTAATATTAGGCTCACGACGTTCTGCAGTACAGTTAGGGTATGGAATCTGCAACATCCTACCATAGTATGAGGTGTCAGTGACGAGAAGTCATCTTCACACAGCTATTTTCCTATTGTCACTTTTATGGTGACACTATCAGATTAATGACAAGCCATAAATGGTGTTTCAAATTCAAAATTCTCTGAAAATGAAATATTTTGCCCTTCGTTTTTTGAGTAATGTGCTGCATCATGAACAGGGCTGCTATACAAAAGTGAAAAAACTTTTCACTCTAAGATCTACTAAGAGCAGTCGAAACTACAAATCCTCTGATTTAAGACCACCCGGACATGCACTTCCCTTCAGGGCACTGTAATTATGGATGTCCACAATGTTTCTAGATGTCTCGGTACTGTTCACACTGTTTTCAGGTTAACAGCCAATGGAAATAGTAATGCACTTAGTTGTACACATTGATAGTACTTACACAATTGCAGCCAAAACTGGAGTGTAACCAGGTACCTTTGCGATGAAAATGCAGTTCAGGTAGCTAATGTCCATTAAATTAAGAATAAATGGATCTTGCAGTTGCAGCAGATGTATAATCTTCCTAACTTAAGGGTTGTGACTGTTCAGCCTGCACCAGAAGAGTTTATAGCATCCTTTCCATTAATTCCTTTACTTAAATCACGGACTGCGTGAGGGATCGCTTAAGCGATCTGGACGTCCACAAATCCATGGGCCCCGATGGAATGCACCCACGAGTGCTGAGGGAGCTGGCGGATGTCATTGCTGAGCCACTCTCCATCATCTTTGAGAGGTCCTGGAGGACAGGAGAGGTGCCCGAGGACTGGAGAAAGGCCAATGTCACTCCAATCTTCAAAAAGGGCAAGAAGGAGGACCCAGGGAACTACAGGCCGGTCAGCCTCACCTCCATCCCAGGAAAGGTGATGGAGCAGCTTATCCTGGAGGCCATCATCAAGCAAGTGGAAGAAAAGAAGGTTATCAGGAATAGTCAGCATGGATTCACCAAGGGGAAATCATGCCTGACCAACCTGATAGCTTTCTATGATGACATGACTGGCTGGGTAGACGAAGGGAGAGCTGTGGATGTTATCTACCTTGACTTCAGCAAGGCTTTCGACACAGTCTCCCATGATATCCTCCTGGGGAAGCTGAGGAAGTGTGGGCTGGATGAGTGGTCGGTGAAGTGGATAGAGAACTGGCTGAATGGCAGAACTCAGAGGGTTGTCATCAGCGGCGCTGAGTCTAGTTGGAGGCTGGTGACAAGTGGTGTCCCTCAGGGGTCAGTACTGGGCCCAGTCTTGTTTAACTTCTTCATCAACGACCTGGATGAAGAGTTAGAATGTACCCTCAGCAAGTTTGCTGACGACACCAAACTGGGAGGTGTGGTAGATACACCGGAAGGCTGTGCTGCCATTCAGCGTGACCTGGATAGGCTGGAAAGCTGGGCAGAGAGGAACCTGAAGAGGTTCAACAAGGGCAAGTGCAGGGTCCTGCACCTGGGGAGGAACAACCTCATGCACCAGTACAGGCTTGGGGTGGACCTGCTGGAGAGCAGCTCTGCGGAGAGGGACCTGGGTGTCCTGGTGGACGACAGGTTAACTATGAGCCAGCAGTGTGCCCTGGCTGCCAAGAAGGCCAATGGGATCCTGGGGTGCATCAAGAAGAGTGTGGCCAGCAGGACAAGGGAGGTTCTCCTTCCCCTCTACACTGCCCTGGTGAGGCCTCATCTGGAGTACTGTGTCCAGTTCTGGGCTCCCCAGTTCAAGAAGGATGAAGAGCTACTGGAGAGAGTCCAGCGGAGGGCTACAAGGATGGTGAGGGGACTGGAGCATCTCCACTACGAGGAGAGGTTGAGGGAACTGGGCTTGTTCAGCCTGAAGAAGAGAAGGCTGCGAGGGGACCTTATAAATGCCTACAAATATCTGAAGGGTGGGTGTCAGGAGGATGGGGCCAAGCTCTTTTCAGTGGTGCCCAGTGACAGGACAAGGGGCAATGGGCACAAACTGAGGCACAGGAAGTTCCGTCTGAACATGAGGAAGAACTTCTTCCCTCTGAGGGTGACGGAGCACTGGAACAGGCTGCCCTAGGTGACCCTGCTTCAGCAGGGGGTTGGACTGGGTGACCCACAGAGGTCCCTTCCAACCCCGGCCATTCTGTGATTCTGTGATTCTGTGATTCTGTGATTCTGTGACTTCACACATTCCATGAAAATAATTTTCTTCTAATCTGAACATTTTTTTTCAGCTTAAATGCACCTAGTATAAAAAGTTGAATCCTTACTAAGAACCACCAGCATGACTTTTGGAATAACTAATTTAAGGGGAAAGAAGACAGGTAGGAATCAAATAGCACACATTTCTATTATCTCCATACCTATCACTGCATGAATTTTCCTAGTACTCTAAACAGTGTTGTAAAGTTTCTGAAATCCTAGTGGCCATCATCATAGCCCTGGTCACACCCAACTCCGTGCTAACAGGGCAGCCTAAGCTGCTCTCCCTCTCAGAGGACAGGGTTATGTCTCAGCTGTGTTTCATAGGATTTTTTTCTTTAACCTATTGACCAGTGGAGATCTAGCTGAGGAGTTTTCTGATCAAGAACTCTTTTAGTGATTACCTGATCTGACAAGAGAGCATTTACAAAAAACTGGAACTGTCTTGCAACAGAACAGTTCTCACTTCCCTCTCTGTTCTCTTTGTTTACTCAGCTTTCATAGCTGAACTTCTCAGTTTCATTCTAAGGCCATATTCTTCTTAATAATCTCAACTGACTTATTTCTCACTTGCTTTTCCACTTCAATCAAACATCATTTTTTCCTTACTCTTCCCTTTTCCCTATACATGCAGAAAAAGGACTAATTCAAGAGCTGTGAGTTATAAAACCAAAGAAAAACTTCACCATTGTTAATATTCTCTAATTCCGCACATTCCAAAATATTTATTATGGCTCAGATGCTAGCTTGACTGTGAAAGAACTTGCACGCCAACGTAGTCTTCATGCCATCTGCTAGCTTCCAGGTTCTTTTACTCCATTCACCTCAGTCCTGCATGCAAATCTTTCTTTTAGTCCTGTTAATAGGGATCCTAAAAGCTCCATAACTGCAGTCACAACTGTCTTTAAAATGTCTCTTACCTTTTGCTTACTTCTTCCTAGACAATGTTCTGCTGGTTTAGTTGAAGAAAAAAAAAAAAACATTTTCTTTACTATAATGCAGTTGCCCTGATTCTGCCTGCAAACAAGAATCTCTGTGATTTCCCTTGTGTTACCTCTTAAATTACAAGTTGCCTCTAAATATCCACACAGCTCCACTGTTTTAATTCAGACTGCTGTAATAACTACTTTACCGTGATGTTTACAGAAAACTTTTAATGTCAGCAGGCAACAAAATGTGTAGGACTGATATACTTTTTATTTGTGTTCTTTTTTTATCCTTCTTGTATGTTGGCTATGGTTGAACTAAGAATACTTTAGGCTCTCCTTCAACCCTGTTAAAAGAGCACAAATTCACGTTACGCAGCATAACCCTGCTACAGTGAATGATAAATTCCTGATGTATACCCATGAGATATTCACAGCAAGTTTCAGGCTGGGTAGGACTTTAATGTTAGAGATATAATGTTAGAAGATTATTATTCTTTACAAACACAAGAAATTCAAACCGTCTGGTCACCTCCTAGTACTCTGTGTTCTAAGCAGTGTCGCCCTGATTCCACATAATGTTCCCTGTACTTCAGTGCAATCTGGGGTGATTTGGCTCAGGTGACTGCAGTGGCCCTCTCCCAGCTCAGCCTTCTTCCTTGCTGTGTCATGAGAAATAGCTGGACACTGAAACCACAGAGACAGACTGCATAAACAAGGGCCGACGAGATAGGAAGTAAGAAAAATAAGAGGAACTCAAACGAGACGAAACCTCTTTTCTCTCAGCAGGGTCTGAGCGTCTCAAGAGTTACCAATAAGACTGCCTCACCTCCAAGTCACTGCTTTGAACTAGCTTGAACAACCAAGGAAAGTCTTTGCTTTCTGTTAGTGTTCCAATATAATCTATTAGATGGATATGTCACGTAGTCAACAAGAAATGTGAAGTATCACTGTCGTAAGATGCAGCACTTTGCACCAAATTTCTGCTAGGTCTTCGGTTTGGCTGGGATTCATTACTGCAGGAGACAAGAACATCCGCTGTCTATTGGCTGAATGGGCCAGCTGGAACCCCTGTAGTTTTGAGACCGAGTACGTCAGCATAGGTGAAGTAGTAAATTGCCACACTGACAGGCCTGATGCACACCTGTTAAAGGAAGAAGCAGTCAACCATGTCAATGGCTTATGCTTCTGCATTGACTCTTACAGATGCAGTTACATGGCTGTGTTGCCAAAAATATTAAATCAGTGGGTTTTTGTCTGTGCATACCAATGTTTACAAGAATTCACTTTATTTGCTCTACAGAAAGGTGAAATTAGTTAAGGGTGCTGTTTTAGCATCTTTTACCGCTCCTCAAAGAGCCTTCAAAGGAAACATCCTTCTTCAAGATGACTGACTACTGGAGGCACCTGTCCAAGGCTGTAAATATGAACGTAAGAGGGTGGTTCTAGTTCCCTGAAGGACTGCATGTTTTACAAGTATGTCAGTACTGCAGCTGTGAGTAAAAAGTAGTGGAAAAAATGTGAGAACTGAATATTGAGGAAGAAAATTCCTGCACCTACTGACAAAGCACAGAAGTAAAATATAGCTAATGATGTGCTGCTTTTTGGTCTACTGACCATAAGAAATGTTTCCTTGTTGAGTTAACTTAGTTTAGGTCTCTATACGAAGTACTGCAATTTCAGTGGTACAGCAGCACCTGGCAGTAAATGATTCTGAATCCTCAGATTAGCAGCTTTCAATTCAAAACTGCCTTATCTAATCATTCCATTATTCCCTAGAAAGAATTTACTGATCTGTGAATGTTACTAGTTCCCTTTTTAAGATTCCTGGATGCTGTGCAGGATGCAGTCTGAGCAGCAAAGTTCACTTGTCTGTGAGTGACAGTACAAAAAGAAAAGAAAGAAGGTCTGACTCACTATCCCTTACCCTTTTATTTAAAAAAAAAAAAACAGCAAACAAAGCCCAAACACCACTGCAGTAGGCAGTATTGCAGAGAGTATATATCTGGCCACGGATTGCTTTATAGCCTGTCCTGGGTTAGGCATAGCTGAGCATAAGGCACTTAACAGGCAGTTAATGCTTCCAGAAGGCTCCTTGAATAGCAAATGACATAAAAAATCTCTTCATTCACAAGATATAGATTACACACGCACACAGATGGTTAGGGGTTTAACCCAATCCCTAATCAGAAGGTTGATTATAGCTATGTCTAGGGCACAGACTGACAGCAAGGAAAACGCCCGTCAGGTAGTTGTACTGAAGTTTGTCTGGGTCTTCTCCCAACCTGTACGTTGCGAAACGCTTGACTCCTTGTGGCCTAGAACTCCAGTTCAGTTGCAGTGCTCACGTGCTTATCAAGTCTTCATCTGGTCTGTGGTGGTGTTGAGTAGCAAGTTACTCCTATCTCGAGAACATATTGGGAAATACAGCTTCACTTTTTTATACAGTAGATAATTAAAGTTGCTGCTTTTATTGTGAGATAATGCCACATTGCTATATTGAATATATTAATAACAATTAAAGAGACATTAGTGGGGTGAAAAAAGAGTGGTAGGTGGATGGGGTAAAGTCTAAGGGATTTAATCTGCTGCTCACTCTTTGCTGCAGACAAGGTCTTGCTAAAGTTTTCTTTAATTTCAGTGAAGGAGTCCTACAGATGGCAAGCCCTCTGCGGTGTGGATTTCCCTTCTACTGAGAAGAAAAAATGACTTTTTCACAACAAGCAGGAAAAACAAATACATATGCAAAGATTAGAGCAGTATTCTTCCATTAACAGTTAAGGATTTTACTTCTCCATGTTTATTTCCATTTATAAGCTAAATTAATACAACTCAAACATCCTTGGTTGTTACATAATCGTATTTTGAAAATTAAATTCTAGTTAGTATGTGTAATTTCTTTGTAAAGACGAGTAACATAGCTATTTAGCAGCTGTACAATGTACAGGAAATTACAGTATGTTTCCTAGTAATCAGTAGCTATCTTGATCTTTATACAAACCATTGACTTAAAATAAGCAAGAGTAAGCACAACAAATGTTAGGCACAACTGAAATCAAAAAACTTCAAAAGGAAACACTTGATGCCATGCAATTTTTCCACAGTGAGTTTGCACACGTTCACAAAACTAAAATAAGGTCCATGTAAGCCCTAAATTTATTCGTTTCTTATACCAAACTCCACTTTGTTCTACTAGAGAAGAAAAAATAACGCTTTTATTTGCAAGGTGAAGTTCTTATGGTATTAGAAACTTTGTACTGCTACCATAATTTTCTTACACATAAAAAATAGTATCAAGGATCTCTCCTTCCCTCCCACCAGAGCCTGATCCAATTCGTCCATAATTTAATAGACATCTTGGAAGCATAACTGAATCAGACTTTCTGAGGATACTCATAGTATGTCTATATAATATAGCAATAGTTTAGTTGCCACTGAAGTATGCAATGTATTTGACATCAAATATAGCATGAAGTCTGTAACCATGTTTGCCGTACAACACCAAATTCTCGCACCCCCTGTTTATTCTGGAGGCAATTCACACTTCACATTTTACTTATTAAAACATATTAACAGAAGATAATTCAGTAAATGAGCTTGACTGCGTAAACAACCCTTATTACTTTCAAACCTGAATAAAGCAATGAATAAAAATAGCTTTATATTTTCCATCTACCCAAAGGTTTTATGTGTTGTTAAAACCGTTCTTACCCATACCAAGAATTTAAGTACGCTCGCTTATAACCTTGGGTTATATAAGGATTTTTGAGAATCTAACAATTTTTTCTGAAGGAAACTTAGTTTTAAACTTTCAAAGCTCCCATTTTCCACATACAGTTCTTTCCTGTTTTCTGCACATAGACTTTCTAGAAATCACCAATAATTTTAATGGAAAGTAAAAATGTTGTATTTCTTACACTTTGAGTTTGCAGCCACCTTGCTGAGGTTCTCAGCACCGGTGAAACAGTGCTAATTTCATGATGTGGATACTAACTTAGGAACTGAGCTAGGTTGCCAGTGTCAGTTCTTTTATAACACACAAAACAAACCCTAATAACTTTTAGCTGTCTCTAGCTTTACCTGGACTGCTTAGTAAATGTCGCTGAAAGTATGAGGAGAAAGGACTACTTCAGGAATGACACAGAACCGCATCATTCACTAAGTCTATCTTCCTTGTTAGAGATTTTCTGTGCTTACCAAAGTATCTTCCTGTTTGGTTACAACCAAACTTTTTTTCTTGTCTTCCTCTGTTACAGTCTGACTCATTTGTTCGAACAGCTTTGACATCTTGGCAAAACTCAGGTGATTCTGAAATCTTCGTGCAGCAAAAGCATAAAGTAGAGGGTTAATACAGCTACTGATGAATACCAGTGCTCCAGAGATGTACACTCCTCTGCCTACAATTTCATCCAGTGCCAAAGACATTTCCTTGTTAGAGAGTTCTATCTGCATTGAAATAATATCTAAGATGTTGAAGGCATGATGAGGGAACCAGCACAAAATGAATGCCACCACAATACTGGCAATGAGCCGTTCCGATCGCCGCTTAGATTGGTAAGTCATTCTGCTTATTCTTCTTGCAACACACATATAACAAGTGCAAATAATTAAAAAAGGGATTACAAAACCTGCAAGAGTCTCCAGCAAAAGATAGGAAATTTTCTGTCTATCAGAAGAGTAGTTGCGACACGTGCATAGTAGTCCACTGTCTGTTTTTTCTGTCTCTTGAAATGGAATGACAGAAACGCCGAAAGTGATAGACAGGAACCAAATAAGGAATATAATTAAAGAAATCTTTTCTTTTGTTTTGTATCTTTGAATTGTGAAAGGGTAAAACACAGCCATTACCCGCTCCAAGCTCAGCGCTGTAATTAGAAATATACTAGCATACATGCTGCAGTAAATAATGAAAACCAGTATTTTGCAGAAGGTGACTCCAAAAACCCACGAGTCAGCAAAGGAGTAAATCCAGACTGGTAAAGTAATCACTACGAGGACATCTGCAATGGCCAGGTTCAAGATCAGCAGGACCGAAGGAGATACTTGCTTCATTTTTGTACAAACAGTCCAAATGACGATGCCATTTCCAGGCGTCCCAATAATAAATGACACGCTCAGTATTATGCAGACTACTGACCTCACAATATTCCCCGTTGAGTGAATACTGCTATCCTCAGCTTGACTCATTCTGGAAATTCTTCAGTTCTTCTTGGTTGCCAGTATCCTCAGTGCCTGGCACGCTGCTCTTATTCTGAAGGTGTTAGCGAGCTACTCAAGAGAAAGTTCTCTAACTGATACTCTGTGGACTAACACGGCATATGTGCTCACATCCTAAGGATCGCTCTTAGAAACATCTGACCACATATGGCAGTTCCTGTTTCTCAGGAGAACAGTGTGCATTTTTGCATACAAAGCAAAAATAAAAATACAGTGTAGCACTTGACTTTGTTTTTAGTTATACATCCATCATACTTCAGCAGATTTTAAAGCATGGAGTTGGTCTGTCAAAAGTGCCCCTACTTAAAGAAGCTTGCTAATTTGTTAAATCAACAGCTATGAGGAGAAAGAAACCCTCCTTATGCTATTCTGCTCTTGTTTGTATGAATAACTCAACAATTTATTTCATGAAAGGCAAAATACGAGGGGTGGTAGTTAAACCACAAATGTGCATTATATGTTTGACGTGAAATTCCATTCCAAAGCACAAAAAAATTGTGCTTACTGCCTTCATGTCATCTTTTTTACTTCAGCAGAAAACAGTCAATCATGCTTTAGAAATACGCTGGCATAAATAAAATCAACATTTGTCCTACAGTGAGACTGTACTGGTACAATGAAGTGGGTGGGAGCTGTATTTCTAAAGCTCTGGGAAACTGCAGTCCTTCAGCCAAACAAAAACCATCAGAATAGGCTGGACATGAGGTTATAGGAGGAAACGCTCTGTGTGAGAGAGAAAATAAACTATTACATTGTCCTCCTGCTGTGCCAGCAATGGGCTATGACTTCATCTCCTAGGAAACTTGGTAGTCAGTGCACTATCCAAATCCTGGGTGAATCCTAAATTCTTCAGTATTTGGCCAAAGAATGTGAAAATATTCTGTTATGCTGATGTCAAAACATCTTCTTTTGAAGTCCGTTTCTAAAAAGTTAAAGTAGGAACTAAAACAGCAGCACCAACAGATATGTTCAAGAGTCACAGAAGTGAAACTGGAAGGGTATTTTCCACAAAGAAGATGCACAGAAAAAAGGAGTTATGTGCAGCTTGCTCTCTTAAATTTATGACTGTGATACAGGTCATCTCCCTGAGTGTTGAAGTAGAACTTTACAAACCTAGTGAATGTAGTGCATAATACTAACTTGAAAAGTCTCTTTCACCATGGAACAAGGATTGCAACACCACCACCCCCAAATCAGCTTAGCTGGTTTTGATCTCATAAGAGTATAATGAGATCAAAAGCAAATCCAGAACAACTCCACTGAAGTATTATATCTTCAAAATACTATTTGTGTAATAAAGATCTTAATTTGGATTTAATCAGATACATGATTCCAGTTCCTTTTATTTTTAACTACATTTAATACAGATTGGGCAGGGGACAAACCCAAACCAGTTGTTTGTATTCTAAAGGGAATTTCTGAAAACCACTTGTGAAAATCAACTAATGAAAGGAAGTGCTGGGCAATGTCTCTTCTTCTAATGAAAACACCTTTATACACATCATTATTTCTGCAGAAGTAATTGTGGAAGGGCTCTTTATCAATTTATTGCCAGTGGCATATCTAGATTGAACTAAGTTGGGATTTTCACTGGTGGGAAAAAAAAAAAATTCAAGGACAGATGCCCAGTACATCTTGCCACCCGAGGCTACAGGGACAGGTATCACACGCTGATTAAGAATTTGACTTGCTCTGCAGAGGGCCCATGTGGCTAAAAGCCTAAGTAGCTAAATACTCCATATAGCAAGAAAGCTATACCAATTACTAGAAATCCTGCTTAACTGAAAGCTAAATTATTACGATAATTGCTAAAAATTCTGTGTAACCATAAGCTATGCTAACTGCTAAAAATTGTAGATAAAAATAAGCTATGCTGATCATTACAATTTTTATGCCATAATAAAGCACTAAAAGAGTCTCTGTGGCCAGCCCTCATTTGACCAAGGACCCCTAAAAGAACCTGCATGTCCCCATAGAAGTGGGTGACATGTCTGTAAGATTTTCCTCCTTAAAACTTTACTTTTGGTAGCGAAGAGCAGTTGTCTGTACAATTATCGATTGCTATCAGTATTAGTATAGTGCTAATGTAGTGGTGTATGGATCTGGTTGAACTTCGGAAGCATCTGTCCTGATGTTTTTCAGAAACGTGCTTCTCCACCAGTCGAGGTTTGCTTGCCAGCCAGCCTCTGCCTCTGGCTGCATCCTTCATTTACACAGGAAAACAAATGAAGCTCAGAACTGCAGCAACAGCCCGGGATTGCTGTTTCACAAAAGATCCCAGGCAGGTGCTCAGATGCCTAGGCTTCTCTGAGCAGGACTCTGAGGACAGGCTGTTAGACTCCTTGTCACAGGGATCAGAGTCAACATGAGCTAGGGAGTGTGTTTCTGAAGAGCTCTGTGTGACCGTTGGGTTACTACGAAAGCTTCAGATTGTTTGCAAGCCATCTTTAATACTCTCTGAAAGCATCGGACTGCTCTTTGTCAAATTTACACTAGTAGTACACAAACTTTCTGGGCAATCTAACAAATATTTCCATTAACACGGAGAGCAGTGTTCAATAACATGCCAAACCCAACAGTGGCTAAACAACTTAGTCTCTTCGTCATTCTAGTGACCACATGTGGGAAGGGCTTTTAATGTATGAATATGCAGTTGGACTGCTGACTTTATAAGCTCTGGTCTAATTCTATTAACAACAGTGAAATTAGGCTGCATTTCCGTGTTAAAAAAAAAAAAGTCTAAATCTATGAAGTTTTTTGTGTGCACGCATGTTATACATAGTGCAACAATTCAGTCACTAACATGGGAAACTTTGTTAAGTCTGTTACCTTTAGATTGGCAAATAGCTTCTGAAAACTTTCCAAGCTCAAGAATTCTGTGCTACTGCTAAGAAACATCTTGAATAGGATTTCCTTTGGCTGAAATATTAGGGGCGTGTTTCATTCATCCTTCAAATCATTCATGTTTCTCTGTATGCATGCATGAGCTTCCCTCTGGTGGACGGTCTCTAATTCACACCACCCCTCTGCATTTTCAGACAGCTGTGCTTGGACCACCAAATGTAAATTCTAACTGGTATTTCCAGCTTTTGCAGGTTTATTCTGAGAATCAGAATTCCACTACAAGATAGAATCATAGAATCACAGAATGGTTTGGGTTGGCAGGGACCTTAAAGATCAGGGAGCGCGAGCGACCAGGAGAGCGGGCGAGCAGAGCCGGCG